AAGTTTTCAAAATATTATTCATCAGAGTGTCCCAGAAATATAATCATATGGATGAGGAGCGGTACGGTCAAGCCTTCGCCTTGCCATGATCTCCGGAAGTACCTGAAACAACAAACTGAAACTGTAAGCCCAAAATCTTAGTGAGCTACCCCCAAAATACCAATACCACACCGATAATACCATATCAATAACAGATAATCAACAACATTCATACTGGGCCTTCGGCCTGACTGGACCGCCCTGCAGGGCCTACAGTCTATCTGGATCTATCCCGAGCCTTCGGTATGACTGGACCGCCATACGGGCCTACAGTCTATCCGGACTGCTCGTAGGGTATGTTGGCCTTCAGCACAAAGTAGGACCGCCTCCACCCAAACATTAAGCAAATAACCTTGTGCACATGACTAACATATACTAGCATATACAGATATCAGATATAACTATCTCACAGATCATCGATCATAACCATCTCTCATAACCAGAACATCGACCTAACCAGGTCACTAACATACCAATCCTAACGGATCATAAAAGCATAACAACATACTGTCTATCATGATACCGATCTAACAGATCATAACCACATGTAGCATACTATAACCAAGATAACAACTAAAAGGGCCGGCCTTGGTGCCTTAGACCCTATTGATATAGTGAGGATAACTCACCTTGCGACTGCCGACTGGAAATAGAAAGCTCAACTCTTGAATCACCGCCATGAACCCCACCACCTCTACCCAACACATCATAAGGTTTATAAATTCCTGAATACCCCATAAGTCAACTGGTCAACCCTTGGTCAAGGTCAAAGTCAACTGTCAAGGTCAACAGTCCGTGTTGACCTCAACTCGTCGAGTACCCTCAGCTACTCGCCGAGTTTCTTGCAATACTTATCTACTCGCCGAGTCACCAGAGTGACTCGTCGAGTTCCTAAGGCTCGTGGTCGAAGCTCCACGGCTACTCGTCGGGTTTCCTTCTTGCACCCGACAAGTCCACACGCATTCATTAATTGGGAAACCCTAACTGACTCGCCGAGTTGTTCATCCAACTCGTCGAGTCTACGGCAATCTTCCTCGGGCTCGCCGAGTTGTTCATCCAACTCGTCGGGTCCATGTCCATCTTCATATGACTCGCCGAGTCGACCATGTGACTCGTCGAGTCCCTTTAGTAGGAAGCTAACGCATGGGGAGATTGATTTGATCATGGGGAACAAGAGCAGGGTAGCTGTTACCAAGATTGGAGATTACAAGATTTCATGACCTTCTAGTTTTTCAATTAGTTTAAAAGATTGTTGCTATTCGCCTTACATGGCAAGAAACGTCATTTCATTTTATGCATTGTGGTGTGACAGTTTTACTTTTGGATTTGATAATGATATTGCTAGTATTTTGGTTTACAAAGATAATACTCTTTATTTCAAAGTAAATCCTTGTAATGGCATATATGAATATGTGATTAGTTTAAGTTGAAATGACAACTTAATCTAAAACATTTGTTCATCTACTTTGGATAAATCATGTCTATAGCATTGTCGTCTTGGCCATACAAACAAGAAGAGAATCGCCAAGCTTCAATCGGATGGAATCTTGGAACCATTTAACCTAGAGTTCAATGGAGATTGTGAATCTTATTTACTTGGGAAGATGGGAACATCTCCTTTCGCATGCAACTTTGAGAGAGAGGTAGATCTATTGGACATCATCCACTCGGATGTATGTGGTCCGTTCAGACACATCACTAGACATGGTGATTAATACTTTGTTACATTTACTGATGATTTCAGTAGATATGGGTATGTTTATCTGATTAAACATAAGTCAGCCACATTTAAAATATTCAAGAAGTTCTAGAGAGAAGTAGAGAACCAACTGGGCAAGAAAATCAAGATACTTCATTTTGATAGGGTCGGAGAGTATCTTAGTGATGAATTCTACAATTATCTTAGAAGTTGTGGGATAGTCTCACAACTAGCTCCACTAAGAACACCACAACACAATGGTGTGTCTGAAAGGAGAAATCAAAACTTTCTAGACATCGTTTGTTCTATGATGACTTATGCTACACTTCCAATTAGTTTACGGGGTTATGTTCTAGAAACTGTTGCTTACATTCTAAACCTTGTACCAACTAAGAAGGTTGAAAGACACCATTCAAAGTGTGGAAAGGGACTCGACCCTTTCTTGCACGAATTAAGGTTTGGGGTTGTGAGGCGTTCGTTCATCGAGAAGCGCTCGAAAAACTTGAACCTAGATCCGAAAGGTGTTACTTCATTGGTTATCCCAAAGATTCTTTTGGATGCGTTTTCTACAAGCCTGTTGAGAACAAGATCTTTGTTGCTCGTAGCGTAGTTTAGTGAAAGAAGGCTGATATCTCAAGAAAACTAGTGGGAGCCCAATTGATCTTGATGAGATTCAAGAGCCAACTAATGAAGAACCTGAAGTTGACACTACACCCTAACAAGAGGTTGAGCAACCTGTTGAGGAATCTAATGTACTTCCACCTCCATCTCATAGATCTAATAGAGAACGTCGTCCACCAAAGTTCTATGGATTCCATATTACTCAAGAAGATGACAACCTGTTAGGCGATAATGAGTCGCAAAGCTATTAGGAATCCATGGCGAGACCAGATACTGCAAAATGGAAAGAGGCGATAGACATCGAGATTCACTCCATGTACAATAAACAAGTACGGAACTTGGTTGATCCTACACCTGACCTTAAATCCATTGGATGTAGATTAGTCTTCAAGAAGAAGACTGGGTTTCTAGAATTATCCCTGGTGGATAATCAAGAAGGTGGATAATTACCCGGTTTAAGATAATCTTTGATTTGGGCTTATCTAGGGTTGTCTGATTGCACTATAAATAGAGCCTCAACCCTAGAATTTTCGGCCACCTATAATTGTGAAGAGCTAGCCAAATTTTATAAGCCTCCTGCCTCTCTCTTAATCTTCTTCCTTTGCTAGTGTTGGGTGTGAACCACTAGAGGCGCCACATTTGTGGCGCTTGCTCTCAAGGCTTCAACAACAAAAGGTTTTTCATTTTTTATTAGGCAATAGCAATCAAGGTATGTTTCTCTTAACCCTATTTGGTATTTCGATAATACGCTAGGTGTTATATGGTTTCTTATTTGTTGTTCAAAGTTGTATGTTCAATGAGAGAAAACATAGATCAAGTATTAGGGTTGCATGCACACATAAGAATTAAATGCACACATAAGGATATTATATGTTTTGCATAATATCCTTCATGTTATGCGGTCCGAAACCAGCCCGAATCGAATCGGAACCGAAAACCAAAGTGGAACAAAAATAGAAATCAAATATCAAACCGATTATACCAATAGGGGACCGGTTTCGGTTCGTGTATTACCGGTTCCGATTCGGTTATTAACCGGGAAGGACCGAAAAACATGTTCATTTTGCTATGGAACTGGATAGAACTGAAAAGAACCGGCTTAGGTTATAAAACCGGAAAAACCGAGTTGTTTTGGTAAAGAAATATGTATTCAGGGGCTGTTTGGTATTATTTTTAAACTCGGGAGCTGTTTTGGTAAAAAAAAATATCCAGGGGATGTTTTGTATTATATTTAATGTCATGGTCTATTTTGGTAAAAAAATATGTATTCAAGATATATTTTGCTTTTGATCCAAAAGGTTTCAACGATGCACTCGGGGTGTAAAATTGTAATGCATCTTTATTCGCTTATCGTTTTAATTGGATTGTTTTCTATTTGTATCTTAATCTGCCTTCTGTTTCACGATGATATATTGCTTTTGATCTAAAAGGATCTCGGTGTTTATGGATGGTTAAACGAACCGAAAACATATTTCGGAAGGTTAACCAAGACTATCAGTTCGTTCATTTCTTGAACATAAACCTAAACCGAAAAATCAGGTTAACCGGTATTCGGCTAATCGATTTTTCGGTTCAGTTGTCTGCCTTACCAATTAACCATTACTAATTAATAAAAATATGTTAAGATTACCTAACCCCATAAGAAATTTCCTAAAAAAGAACGAATTGCAATGAATAATGCATATAATTTGTTTAATTATATTGTTGCTTCTATTAATCATGAAATTTGGATGAATTATCAAAGTGGAATATGAAAAATAATATCGAATAAATAGATAAAAGATAGTTAAATTTTTAGTTATTTATGTGAAATGGTGAAATGATAATTTTAATCTTATATCAACCTATGTATATTTATAACAAATCTTAGTGACGACAATTATTGGTTTAAATTGACAAATGTAAATAATATAACAATTATTAATTGTAATTGAAAATTTTTAAGAAATAATTTGATATTAACTTAAACGTCTAACCATAAATAATATTTAAAAAAATATAAAATAAAATTTCGATTTTTCGGTTAACCATCCATAGCAAAAAGCATGAACCGTAACCGAACCGGAAAACCGAAGATTTTACCGATTCGGTTAACCAAACCGAAAAAGTCAAAAATATCGGTTCGTTTAACCTGAAAAGCGGTACGATTTTTAGGTTTTCGGATATTTTGAACACACCTATCCATAATGGAATTAATATGACACTCGGCAGTTGAGAGAGTCGACTGGAAGTTTTTTTTTTTTTTTTTTTTTTTTTTTTTTTTTTTTTTTTCTGTTGTGTGAGTCTGCGGGAAGTTGCAACGAAACGAGGAACAAAAAAAAACTTTACATTACCCAATTCTGGTTGAGAAAACCGAATAAGCCCATAATTTTTGAAACTGGACCGAAAAAACTGAAAACCGATTATGCCCAAATGTCAAAACTGAGAATCGAACCGAAATTGTTTATTCAGTCCTAACCGGTTCCGGTTTTTCGATCCAAAACCTCATCTTTAGTCCAAGGTTATTACTTATAATATTACTTATAATGTGTTTCAAAGATATCCGGGAATTTTCAATTTTCAAAAACCACAAGAACCATTAGTGAAATTTTGTCTATTTAAATTACGGACAAAACATAGAAAGCATAATATATTGTGGTGAATGATTCGGTGTGACACAACACGTCGTAATTTCAATTCCAATTGTGGGCTTGTTGCTAACATGCGCCACAACACATTAGGCACTCGATGTCCGAAATCGCACGTCGCCGCATTACAGTAAAAGAAGATGTGCAGGGTACAATTCACTCGCCAGCGCATTTTATCACTGAGCCTTGCATTATTTATTTACTTTCTCCCAATAACAATTTTAAGGGAAGATTACAGTTTTAAAATTTTAATTATTTTTATATTAAAAATTAGATGAATCATTAGTTAAAAATGTTTTACTGGATCGAAAAGCTGATTTTGATAGTTATATTATTTATTGTTATATAATGAAAATTGTTTAAAACTTAAAACTATTAAACTACATTTTTATATGGAAATTTGTTTTTTAATTTAAATAAAAATAATATAACCCAAAAAAACTGTTCGGTCCATGCTATTTTGCTATTACGGAGTCTCTCTACTGTTCTTTCTCTCTCTATACTCTCTCTCTCTCTCTCTCTCTCTCTCTAAACTCCCGATTTCGATTTGTAAACAGATGATCCAGCAACGCCTCTTGTCCAAATTCATGAACAAATGACCAATCCACGTCGTTCATCCACAGATTATTTGTGCCAATCTCTTCAATCTCACAATCAAGAATCCCCATCTCCCTAGATCGAAGGTATGTCGCTTTTTACATCCATAACCATGTGTTTCTATGTGTATCTCGTGTTGATTGCAAATATGTTAGTAGCTCCCAGTTTGTTCAATTGCTTATGATCTCGTTTCAATGCGTGTAATTACCTACATACGTAAGTTCCCTGTGTTTGCCCAAACACTGTTGTTAACATGCATCTCGTTCTAGGTACTACGTGATTTATCGCGAGTATTTATGAAGAGGGATACCAGGTGTTTGATTAATTGCTAGGTGTTTCGTGTTGAAGATGTCGAGTAATCTGGTGGTAAAAGTACGAAGAGATAAGATAGCGGCATGCATGACATGCCCTATCTGCAACAAGCTCTTCAGGGATGCCACCACTATCTCCGAATGTCTCCATACATGTGAGTATTTCTCTATCTGTTTACGTTTTCTCCCTTCCGCTTATCTTTTTTTCACTCCTTACAATCATCATGACTACTATCAAGTGTGAATTTTACTTTGTGCGTTCTGGTGTCCGAGCTCTTAATTGGGTTCTTTTAATGGTTAGCTTCGTATAATTTCATTTATTATCATACATGATTCTTAATGTAAGTAGATTTTGTTAGAGACTGAAGATTGCTAACTGATTGATGCAAGAGGATCTGATTTTTGTTTTATTGGTATAATTTATAAAAACTTTTGTTACGTGCATGTTTTGTGGAAATTTGTGTTTGGTAGATGAAAATTTCAGCATAATGTCATTATCCTGTTTTTTCGAATCTTTTAAATGCAGAGGTTAGAAAAAGGGGAAAGATCTTGAATTCCCCTAATTTTGCAGTATACCCTTGTTAGTATTGCTTGTGCCCAAAATTTCATATATAGATAGATGGCTTTGCATCTTGTAATTGGCTTCTGCAGTTCTGTTTATACTAACGATTTTTCTTAAAGATAAAATATCAATCATTCTATTGTTCTTGCTTTTATGTTTGTAACATACATGTTGACACTTGTATTTGATTTCAGTCTCTACTAAAACCCTAAGAAATGGATGACTTTAATTTATTTTTTGCCTCTTGGACATAATGCAGTCTGCAGGAAATGTATACGTAAGAAGCTCTCGCAAGAAGAACTTGAATGTTGTCCAATATGCAATATTGATCTTGGATGTGTGCCTTTGGAGAAATTGAGGTACTTTTTCTCTCCTTTTCTCTCTATTTTGATGTTTCTTTTTGACTTAATGTGGGCTTGACTTGACTCGTTAAGATATATATGAGTGTTGCTTCTTGACTCAATAGAGAAAGTAAGGGAAAGGAGGCTTTCTCCATTAAGTCCTAAGCTTTTACAAATTTTCCCTGAGTTTTTTTTCCCTTCAGTTTCCCCTGCTTATTGTCATTTCTTCACATATTTCATATGATCATTTATTCATACAACACTTACTGAGAAAAAGAAGAGATAGGGCTGCACTTTGATGTTATGGAGTGTAATAATGCACATCAAATTGTTGTGACATGTAGAGCGATGCACAAATGCATATAAATATATAATATTTCAACACAAGTAGTGGAGATAAATTAGACCATAAGATTGAGTTTATGTTTACAATATCAAAATAGATTGGCTTGTGAAGAAAGTCTATGCATAATGCATCTTTATCTGCAGGTTATGACATATTTAAATGGATTAGAATTCTAAAGGCTTCTTGCCAAGCTTTATCCTAGTTGGCAAACATGTACAGTTTCTTAAGATCATGAATGGGGTCATAACAAGTGAATATATGTAAATCATATTTATTTTACCTACCCATAATCATGTGCAATTCTAATCATACCTATTTGTTTTCATCTTTTGAGCTTGTCTTTTAATATCTTTCCAAGTGCAAAAAAATTGCCTATCTTCTCAATGTACAAATGCACTTTTGTTCTACTCAATCTTTGAGATAAAAGGTAAGTGAATATATTTGTATAAGGAAGTATATCCAACTCCAATATTTTCATGTATGGTATTTCTCATTCTCATATGGCTATTCTACTAATTAGGCAGAATATTAGTTTGTAAAGTATTAATACAGAAAGATGTAGTTAACTGTTGATTGTTGATTGATGAAGAACAGGCCGGACCATAATTTACAAGATCTGAGAGGAAAAATCTTGCCATACAAAAGGAGAAGGGTGAAGGCCCCTGAAGTTGTGCCTTTAAGGAGGAAAGAGAGATCACTCTCATCACTGGTTGTCACTGCTCCAAGAGTCTCACCCTCAACACCAACCAAAACCACAATCACAATGACTGGCAAAAGGTCAAAAGTAACCCCAAGGAAGAAATCACGTGGCTCCAGTTTCTCCATCGAGAAACCCCTCCTCAAGAAACAACAAGAACAACAAGACTCCATCTCCATGGAAGAAAGCTCCACTTCACATGAAACTTCAAACAAGATCACCCACAATTGCAACTCAAAGCAGGTATAGCTAAACAATTTAACATAACAATACTCCTATATTGTATTTTGTTAATGAGAGATAAAAAATGAATTATGCAGAAGAATTGTTCAACTGCTAGCCATGATGAAAGAGAAGGCGAAGGTGAAGCGTGGGACTGGAAGCCATTAAATGACCTTGTGGAAGCAGCAAATAGGAGTAAATCTTCAAAACATACTGCTGTTGTTGTGAAATCTGAAGCTTGTATTATAAAAAGTGAAGGAGGAGGACATGTGCAACGAAAAGCCAAAGGGAAAGATGAGTTAAGTAATAAAGTTGAAGATGATGATAAAGACACTGCTACTGAAGTTGTAAATGTAACACCTCCTATTATAAAGATGCGTAGGAATCGCAAAAAGAAGTCAGCTGATTCTACTGTGCTGGATGCTGTTGACACTAGTAGGGAGAAAACTAAACGAACATATCCTATCTGGTTCCAGTTGGTGCCATTTCAACAACAGTCAGGACTCTCTCTCTCTCTCTCTCTCTCTCTGAGTTGTTGACGACATTGTTAATTTTGTGTTTTCTAATGGTTGGTTTTCAGGGAAGGGGAGCCCTTGAGGCAGATAGAAGGACGATATGTGAAATTGAAGTGAGTGAGTTTTGAATTTTGATCTACAAGGCTACATTACAAATTTACAATACATATTTGTTGTGAGATTACAGTGATTGTGTGGATGAATATGAATATACTGATTGTACAGTGATGGGAATGTACCTGTTTCAATTATCCAAAAACTGGTGATGAACAAACTGGAACTTCCAAGTGAACATGAGGTAATCAATCCATTATCCATTTAAGTATTTAATTTATATTTTAACATGAGTTATCCATTAAGTATGAGTACATATTATATTTATATTTTATATTTTAACATTTATATTTATACGTAGGTTGAGCTTCGATGCATGGGGGAGCGGGTGATGCCAACACTGCAGCTACGGAATCTGATGGAGCTGTGGGTGCAAGCTCATCCAGACATCATTACAGCCAAAATTGGCTCATCTGCACACCAATTTCTCATGGAAATCTCATATGCCAAAAAACCCAACCCAAACCCAATCCCAATCCCCCCATAAAATATTAATTATTCATTTTTATCACCCAAATCAAATCTCGCCGCCTAATACTTAATACTTAATACTTACTTTATCAGATTATAAAATTATCATTTTTGTTTAAGTTTCTTACTTTTATTTACTTGTTCAAATACTCTTTATCTTTTTCCCTTGTTTTGGATTGAATGTGGTGTTTGTTGTTCAACTTGCTGAATTTTCACATGCCTTCCTCTACTTTACTTTTTCACCACAATAACCAGACCCAACCACATGCAATTAATTAATAATGTATGTATGTCTAAAACTGTAAAACATTACTAGTTACTAGTATCTATATTTACATGTATGTATTTGCCATTTGGTAAATATGTAAGACAATGGAAATAACATATAGTATGTGAAATTAGAGAACGTAAAAAATTCTATTAATTAATTTGAGAATTTACAAATAACTTTCCTCAAGAAAAAAAAAATTAAAATAAAATTTCAGTAAAAGCAACAAGTAAATAAAATTTAGAATCGAGATAACTTAAAGTCCGATGATACCGATCTCGGCGAGGATCTCCTTGCAGCGAGGATCAACTTCTTTCACCATGAATCCAATCGGATTCGCCATGCGACTGTTGCCTCTAACTCCGTTTTTATCCGTCAATGAAACCCTAGCGCTTCTCTCGTCGTCCATCACCTCCGGGCACTTACTATCAGGGCTTTCCGTAACCTGAACGTCACAGATCTCCTCCTCGTGGTCACCGGTGGCGGTGATGCTGTACATGCCGCTGGCATCGCTTGTTCCCTCCACGTTATACGATTCACCTGATTGTTCACGCGCCCGGCACACCAGGACCACCTTTGCGTTCGGAATAGGGTAGCTGATTTTGGTCGGGAATTGAATCCGGCAAGGATCGCAATAAACTTTGCCTTGCACCACAAACGCTTCTCCTGATGATGATCCGGCGGGACCGGAGGAGGAGGCGTTGTTGCCCCTGGAAGCGACGGGACCGGCTATGGACATTAATATAATGGTGAAGAGAGATAGGGCCAAGACGGCGGCGAAATTTGCCATTTTTTTTTTCTTTTTTAGAAAAACTGAAACTATGAAATTGTGGTGATAATTGAGATCGTCGGACTGCAATGAGAAGTAGGAGGGGTTGGGTTTTTGACAGGGAAGGAGGAGGTCGAGAGGAAAAGGCGGGAATGGTGGTTCAGTTTCTAATTTTAGAAATATGTTGCAAAAATCCCTTTTCCTTTTTATTTATAACCACGAATCTAGGTGGGAGGGACGTTAATCAACAACCAACCAAATCTAAAAAGGTTTGCATTGTGATTTCTTTTGTTTAGTATGAGTTTGGATTTTCTCAAACTAACTGCTGTTTCCTTTGTGTTAAAATAAATCGTTACTTTTATTTTCGAAAAAAAAACACAAAATTTGTAGGATGTTGGTAAATAAACCTCCATTAATGGGATATGTATCTATAGATGTGTGGATGTGTAGGCCAACATGCATATGCCACATCATTATCATTAGAGGTTAATTTAAAATACTATTTTTATTATAAGTTAATAATTTGATTTTATCTTTTATTAGTGATGGATGTATTTAATTACATATAAGACTAAGTACATATAAGACTTCAGGGAGTGGATGACAAAAATCTTCGGCAAAGTTGACAACATGTTGTGAAAACAAGCCTTTCTCTGCATTGCATCGCCAAAAAAAAAAATGTATGTGTATTAAATCGGTTGTCCATTCTTTTTCTTCTTTATCTTTTCTTTATTGTCATGATATCACTCCTTCTCTTTTCCATGTCATGATAAATCAAAATACAACTTAAATGAAGCTTAGGCCTCTCGGTGCACATGATACCACACACCGCAGTATGTGAGGTGGCACTGCAGTGTGCGGTAAGCACCGTACTGCCCCCTTGCTCCACTTTGGTAAGCTTGTTTTGGGTTATGGTTTCACCGCACGGTATAACCCTCAAAGGTGGTACTTTGTGCATAAAAACGTGTACTGTGGTGGGTGTGGTATAACACCCACCAGTTTTGTAGGGTGAGGGAAAAAATGAAGTGGCAATACAAAAATATGGTATGACACTTACCACTGCTACCAGCCTTATGTGAAGCTTAGGTGGCCATGACAAACATAATACGACTCTTCGGTCTAAGCGCATCCACAATGCATTGAACTCCATAGAGTTCAATGAATTGTCACATCATCTTTCTACAATCCATACAACACTATCATATTTTTCCTACAATGCATTGAACTCTACAAAGTTCAATAGAAATGTTACAAAATGTAACTTATAGTAAATATTTAAGAATTAAAAACTTTTCTTTTTCCCATTGAAGAGTTCAATGGTCATTGAACTCCAAATCCATTGAATGTCAATGTGACATCTCACAATGGTAGAGTTTCATCCATTGAATTATATATAAACTTGCCACCTCATTCAACTCTCCCATTGAACTCATCATTATGGATGCTTTAATCAGTTAATTAGTAAAACTTGATTTAGGAGCTATTTGGACATGCTTAGTTTTTCTAGGATTTTAATAATACTGGTAATTGTTTTAGGAATGTTTGACAAATTCTTAAGATGTAACACCCAAAAATTCAAACCAATTTAAACTTTTAAAAACATTTCAAACCATTAAAAATCATTACAACTTTGTTTTCAAAATGTATAATATCAGAGTTTTCCCAGAAACATAGACAAAACATGAGGAGCTGTACGATCACGCCTTTGCCTTGCCGCGATCCCCTGATGTACCTGAAACAATAAACTGAAACTGTAAGCCCGAGAGCTTAGTGAGTTCCCCCAAAATACCGATACACATACAGTCCATATAAACATATCATAACAAACTAAAAAAACATGTAATGGGTCCCCAACTTTACAGACTGGATTATCCCTGAGCCCACAGTACGAGTCTCCCTTTAGCCCGTAACTGGAATACTCCCGAGCCCACAGTACGAGTCTCCCTTTAGCCCGTAACTGGAATGCTCCCGAGCCCACAGTACGAGTCTCCCTTTAGCCCGTAAATGGAATGCTCCTAGGTCTGTTGGCTACCACCGCACAGAGCATTACAACCTCAACCCATCCACATAACATTAAACATACCACATAACCACTGAGCATGCAATAATCATATAACATCACAGTAGTCCTACAGGTCTACCTAACTGGAATAACTACTAGCATGCAACACTAACTTATACTCAACATCTAACACTGCTAGGATAACATATCCAATGGGCCGGCCTTGGTGCCTTAGACCCCTTAGTATAGTGAGGATAACTCACCTTGCAACTGTCGTCTGAAACTAGAAAACTCAACTCCCGGATCACCAACACGAACTCCACCACCTATAGTTACCATAAAACCCTTTTTCATAAATCTTCAAATTACCAGAATACCCTCAGAAGTCAACTGGTCAACTCTTGGTCAAAGTCAAAGTCCACAGTCAAAGTCAACAGTCCATGTTGACTCGACTCGTCGAGTGCAGTTCACCGACTCGTCGAGTCCTTCCTGAACTCGAAAGTCGTGAAATCCTTGATGGCTCGTCGAGTTCCCTTTAACTCGCCGAGTTCATACGTGTCCAAGAATTGGGAGAAACCCTAGCCGACTCCCCGAGTCTTCGAACGACTCGCCGAGTTCAAAGCAATCTTCAACGGACTCGCCGAGTTTGTTCATCAACTCGACGAGTTCACGACCATCTTCATATGACTCGCCGAGTTGACTATGCAACTCGCCGAGTCCTTGCAGACCTTCATCCATGCAGACACTTTTTAAGCCATGCCAAGGTTCCAGATTACAGATCCAAGCTTCTAAGGCATGTTTAACACGTAAAGTTGCAAACTTTACACACATGCAAGGCCCTAAAGGCTCTAAATGACCAATTTAAGCTTCTAATGGAGCTTTACACCATAGGAGAGTCTCATCCTTGCAAAAGCTGGAAACTTTATGGACTTAGGACTCAAAAGAGGTTCAGATCTGAAGTTTCAACTTCAGATCTAGCTCCATACCAAAATCCCTTCATGAATAACTAAAGAAAGCCCTAGTTTTCACATATGAATGATTCTAGAAGAAAAAGAGGTTAAGGTAACAGTTGGTTACCTCCAAAACGTGCCCAAACTGAAGTAGACTCTGGATCCACACGGAAATCTTGATGCTAGCCTCTTGATCTACAAGTTTCCTTCACAAAAGTCACTCCCTAAAGCTCCAAAACACTCTCCAAGCTCTCACTCACAGCAATTAGGGTTTTTGGGTCTCAAGAGGGTGATAGAGGACAGTGGGAGGCGCTAATGGTCCAATATATAGGGTGTAAAAACCCTGAAAATTAGGGTTTCCACTGCCAGCTCCTACTCGTCGAGTCCCATGCCGACTCGACGAGTCACTCATTATTTGACGTGTCCTGGCCCGCTGCTACTCGACGAGTCATTGCGCCAACTCGTCGAGTAGACCTTCAACGTGAAGTCTAAAAGGAAAAATATTAATAATACCTGACGGTTGGGATGTTACAATTCTCCCCCACTTGACTTAGACTTCGTCCTCGAAGTCAGCTGTAGCGAATAACTCCGGGTAATGCTCCTGCATCTCATCCTCCGACTCCCATGTCCACTCGGATCCCCTCCGATGCTCCCATTGTATATTTACCAATGGAACCTCCTTGTTGCGCAGGACTTTCACTTTTCTTTCCAAAACGGCAATCGGCCTCTCAATATAATTCAGGCGCTCATCAACCTGAATGTCATCCAGTGGCACCACTGCCTCCGGGTCCACAATGCACTTTCGCAACTGCGAAACGTGGAAGGTACGGTGGATCCGACTAAGCTCCTCCGGCAGCTCTAGTCTGTAAGCCACCTTGCCAACCCTGGCAATGATCCTGAACGACCCAATATATCGGGGACCCAATTTTCCCCTCTTCCTGAAGCGGATCACACCCTTCCAGGGTGAGACCTTCAGGAGTACCATGTCACCGACCTGAAACTCTAACTCGGATCGGCGTCGGTCAGCGTAACTCTTCTGCCGACTCTGAGCGGTCTGCAACCGCTGTCTAACCTGCTGAAGCTTCTCGTAGTCTGCAAGACCGC